AAGTCATTTGTATTTTCTCCTGCTACTTCATGTATTCCTATCAGTCTTATGTTATTCTTCTTTGCATCATCTAGGAGTTGTTGGATTGATTTCTCATGATCCCTTACTGCTTTTAAGAGATCTCTCTTTTCATAGTCACTGACTGCAATCTAATTATCTTCTATATCTGAGAGTCTATCTTCACATTCTTTTATTCTATTGTATACACTTTCTATGGAGTGTTTAATCTCCTGGATATCTGTTTGAATCTGTTTTATGGATTCCATTTCTTTCCTATGTTGGGCATTTATTGTTTCCATTTCTTTCTTATGCTGGGCCTTCATGGCTTCTATCATGGTCCTGAGCTCATCTATTTTTTTGTCAGTTTCTGCTCTAGAGTCTCAAATCACGACTTCCATTTTGCTCACTATCTCTATGGTTATCTGGGAAATTATTTCTGTTTTGAATTTTTCTAGAGCCTGATTGATCTGTTTTGTTACTTCCTGTGCTTTGAGTTCAGGGTGTCCTGGTGGTTCACTGTCAGCCTTTTCATCCTCATTTGCCCTACTGTTTGCCATTGGTGAACTGGAAGTCTGTCCTTGTGTCTTGCTTGAGTGTTTTCTCATTTTAATTTTTGTTGTCAGACTGTCCTTGGTTTAATATCTGGGTTATCACCCAAATCTTCCTGATATAGTTGCACCCTAGCTTCTGTGTCTCTAAAGACCCACAGACATTCTCATCTTCATAACATCAGAGAAAACAGCTCATCAAATCAACAGCAATGCTTTATCCCAACTGATACAATCAGCAACACATTAAGATTAGGCACAACTTGGACACTGACCACCTGTGGTAGTCACTAGTCTATCACCCTTAAATCATTTGAATTAAATTGAAATCAAGAAGCAGTCCAGAACATGTCTGCAGTGAACAAAATTTCAGTATGGTGTATTTACCATTTAATGGCTCAGACAGAGCGAGGATGCAAGACCCCTGGTCTCAGTTAGCTGATGGCTGAACCCCATGACACTGACTGACCTTGGGCGGCAAGGCCCAGATTGAGTTCCCCAACCTTCTGAATGGTTGAACTCCACAACGTTCTATTACAGGTTTCCCACACCCTTTCTTTAAAGATGTTCAAAGTTGGGAACTCAGAAAAATACCCTTGATGACCACCTCTGCCTCTGCAGAGTGGGTCCAAAGACTGGCACAGTCAGGAGTTCTGAGAGTGCCCAGGGGGGTGGTGGGCTTATGGGGGTTCAGCGCTACCTTCCTGGCGCTTGAGCAATGTTGGCTGGGGTGGGAGAAGGCGTGGCTCTCCTTCCCACAGTGGATCGGGGCCCAGGCTACCTCCTGGCACTTGAGCGATGGCAGCTGGCTGCTGTGGCTTTTTTAATGAATCATTTTTGATTCCAAAAGTTAGTGGGAAAATTGTATTTGTTTTATAGAAAGTCACATTAGAATATTGTAATCATTGTAACTTGAACAGTTTTTTTCCTAAAATATATTCTTTCTTTCTGCCTTCCCCTCACTTTGTCCTTCCCTTGCTCCCCTTGTCTACTCTCCAGTCATGATCTTGGGGAAGGCTCTTCACCATTTAAAGCCACTGATTTCTCATTAGTGAAGAGGCTAATACTTTTACCTTACTAGGTGATCAGGCTTTAGTGAAATAAATCATACGAAGTGCTTAGTACACTGTCTTAAACCCAGAGTAGTCATGAAAAGGCAATCAAGTACAAAGAGATAATTTTAAAAAACTATACACAGCTTTATGCATTTATATTGAGTTTCTCATCTAGGACATTCACACAGATGCAGAGAAAAAAGTCAGCATCATTAGCACAGTCATCTTTGGGTACCCCACTGTTTTTAAACTCATCAAATTTGGTACTCAGGTGATCCCCGGTACTTGTATTTTGTTAGGCACTCAGCATTTAAGTTAGAACTTGATGGTATTGATTGCCTCATGACCCAGTACATTTCTAGCCAAAGCTTTGTTTGGTATTTTTCCTTTTGATATTCACTGAGCCTCCTGGTTCCAATTAATGATGAGTACCAAGGTACCACTGTTGTTGAAAACCATTTTGAAAGAAGGTGGCGTATGGATGGGTTCACACACTTACACAGGAGCACTTTTAAACAGTGAGGTTCATGTCAAGGATGCTGTGAGATTGGCATTTGTAAGGTTCTGATAACTGTAAATTGGCGTATGTCTTTGGACTGCAGGTCAGCATTAGGTAGCAAGACCTTGATGTGTACTAAAAATGTTCATTTTGGTAAAGATCTGTGTGGATTATAATTAGGAAATTACACGGTATACATGTGCACCACATCTGTGAATCAAGCATGTCAAGCATGATATAGACATTTCGCTTCTGAGATCATGGGTGAGGAGATTCTGGACCTGCTGGCCATGTCTTGGAATATCAGCTGCTAAGTACATAAACCCACACCATTCCAGTGGATGCCAGGGCTCTGGAGGGATCTTTTGAGTATAGTCTCAGGCCACACAGATGTGTGCAGCAGTGTCTTGTCCAGGCTGAGCTCTGAGCAGCTCCTGAGGTGATTTCTTTTGTTATCTGTCTTCTTGGAAGCCTAATTCTCTGAAATCTAAATTCCATCCCCTCCAGTCTGATAGAGTTGATGTGGTAGACTCGTCTGAGAAATTTACAACAAGAGTGCCTGGCAGTGGCTGAGGCATGTCCATTCTGTGATGCTAGGGGATTGTGTTTGTGAGTAGAAAGAGTGGCCCATGAGAGCAGGGACTGTGTATGCATTGCTGCTTGGGATTCTTGAATCACAACCCAGGTAGAGCTACCTTACCTTTCCCAAGCTGGCTCAGACTTGTCATTCTCCTGTGTCAGCATGCTGGGATCACAAGCATGTGCCACATATGTGGTTAGTTCATTTTAAAATATGAGAATGGGATAGCTTTTTCTAATTTGCACAAAGTCTTTGTGTGGAGGTCCTGGACATAGTGTTTTTATACGAGCAAAATATTTGGGGATGGAATGGTATATAATAATTAAAAGTTATTTTGTGGAAGAGTTTTTAGTGATGTGAAAGGATATGAATGATAAAACTGGACAAATGTAAAGAAATGCTGTTCAATTGCATTAAAATACATATAAAAATTAGAAGGAATTAAAATTACAAATAGGTGTGGTCATGGGATTACAGGTAGGCTTGTTTTTTTTTTTCCTACTTTGTATGTTTTATAGTGTACTTGTATCGATTGCTCTTACAATAAGAGAAAATTAAAATTGTAAGAAAATTTAAAAGCCTACGAATATCAAAGTCATTTTCTGATGACCTTGAGTTACCTATTCATCTGTCACTGACAATTTGCATCTTTATGGATAGAATGAAACCTTGTTTACGCAAATGAGAAGTGTTGGTATTTCATAGCCACAAGAACCTGAGTTTGCAGGAGAGGTTAAGAATTTCTTGATAGTATCGATTTTTTTTTTCCTTTTTTGGTGGTACCGGGGATCCATCTCAGTACCTTGCACTTGTGCCACTGAGCTAAATCCCTTGCCTATATAGTATCAAATTTAAAATGCTAAAATATTGACACTTTGTATTAATAATTACATAATGTGTGATTTATTATAGACAGTTGTCCTTTGGTACCCACAGGAAGTTGGTCCCAGGATTCATATCCCTTGGATATCAAAATCTGCAGATGTTCATCTGCTGTATATAATGGCACAGTATTTGCACCTAACCTACATACATTGTAGGTACTTTAATCTGTCAATTGCATATGATGACAATGTAAATGCTATATAAATATTTGTTATACCATATTGTTGGGCAATAATAATTACAAGACAAAAATCTATGTGGTCAGTACAGATGTAATTTTTTTTTCATCCTAGAATATTTTCAATCCAAGATTGGTTGAATACACAGTCGGTTGAATCCGTATATGTAGAACTTGTGGATATGGAGGGCTGACTGTATAGTATACATACCTTGATATTTGGATCTCTATAGAAAATGTAGTCACTAAGTATAGCAAGAGGGAGGCTTTTAATGTGACTTTACATTTTCTTCCAGTTAAAACCATTTTGTAGTAGTAAGCATGGTATCAGATGACATGGAAGCTGAGATTTGTATTCAGCCATGTACACTGTGATGTGTTTTAGGAATGATTATTGTTACAAGTACAGTATTTTAGATTCAGTGTCAAACTAGAGAAATGTGTTTTATTATAATTTTAATTGTACAAGAAAATCGTGTTAAAAGTAGATTTCCATTAATCTTCTCATATTCCTTGAGATTTGTTATTTTACAAATAAAATTGATATTTAGATAATTTAGGTAAGTGGAAGTCTTCATTTTACAAACAGTGAAGCAGATACTAAAGAATTTAAATAAGTGGACACTCAATCTGGTCTGTCTTACTCAATAGCCATGTTGCTGTATTATTTAATTATTAGAGTCTGAAGTTTTTTAATATGTGTAAACTGTTCTGCCTTCCTCTGGTAAGTTATTGTGATAAACTTTCCTTTTTTTGACTATACACATTTTGAAATTATCAAAACACTTTTGTAATCTTTTTAAAGTTTTCTGATTATGTACTTCCATTTTAAATGTCTTAACTTGCTTTAAATCTTAATATATTAACTCTGCAAAAAATAAAATAGTGCTTTCTATTTTCTAAGATTTAGTTTTCAGAACTCAAAACTAATCTATCCATAAAATATTGATCAAGAAGAACCTATTTCAGTTTTCCATTGGGTTATTTTCACACCATTTATTAAATAAAATTTTCATTCTTCATTTCTTTATGATGATACATTCCTCATTTGAAATATTGTTTTACTTTCCTGCTTATCCAAGTCCATTCTTCAAAGTTCATCTCAGACCCCAGGGCTTCAGAAAATTTTTGCTAACATCTGGTATCTATCCATTGCCTACTCTTAGTTGGAAATACACTTACTCTTTTTCTCGTAGCACTTTATGTAGATGTTTCTTTTGCTACATATTTTCCTTAAATCCTTAAATTGCCATAGTACATTATACTGTACCCTTCTAGAGTACATGGTCTTTTTCATCATAGCATCTCCTCAGCTATCTATTTGGTTATTAGGTACATAGTAAACTCTGATAAATTATTGGTGTGTGTGTGTGTGTTTTGACTTACATGCAATGGAACCTTTTTTGATTTCTCTGTTCTCCAACCCTAACTGTCAATCTGTGCAGTTCCACACAATTTTAATTGTTAATGAGAAAACTGGTACTTCTCATCTATTCTTTTGCTCTGTAGAAAAATTTTCAGTCTTGCATGTTTCTTTTTCCCAGATGAATATAGAATACTTTTTCAGGTTCTTAAATTAGAATTTACTCGTGTCTTTGTTGGAATTTAATACTACTGTGCTTCTATGGTAATTATTGTCTGATCTGGGAGCACAGTCAGTTGGCTTATTAAGAGCTTTTTTCTAAGATAGTTTTAAAGATTGTTTTGTGTATATCAAGAACACCTTAAACAAATTGAATTTGGGTAGATTTTTATCATACAACCAAATGAAGGAGTGCAACTGAAGTTTCACAGCCAGTTAGATTTATATATCACGTGAAATACTGCAAAGCTATAAACACGAGTGACAATGCTCTGAAGTTACAGCTTTATGTATTGTCTTTGCTGGAAGCACAGACATATAGTAACACCTAACTGTTGACATGAATATCTATAACATTGGATCAATGCATATTTAGCATGGCAGTGGTACTATTTGGGTAGAGCATAGGTGTTTGCCCGAATTATCACTTATGTCTAAGGTGGCATGGCTAAACCTGTACTTACTTAACTTTGCAGTCTGTGTTCTAGAGTCTCTTGAATACAGAAGGAATAGTAAATCTGATATTGCTAATGGCAGCTGAATCTTCAACATTGAGATAGTAGGCATGAGGATTTTGGGTAGTAAGAGTTTGGATGGAATATGTGAGAAAGGGTATTGAAAGAGGAATCCAGAGTTTTTAACCTGAGCAGAGCCTGTGGCAGGCTTTCTTTTAGGCAGTTTATTTGAGGACCTGTTAATAAGAAATAGAATTTGGAAAACTAAGGCAAGTAAAACAGTGAGGAGGGAGGCTAATCCAAGAGTGTATTACCGAGTTGGTCATTTATGAGCAGCTAGAGCTTGGTCCTGTGGCAGTCCTCTGAGAAGACAAGAAGGCTATGCCTTTGAGTGGGAGCAAGGGGCAATGTTTATCTAACAGTTTCTGCCCCCCATTGGTCAGGTGTTGCCTGTGGTGTTAACATTCCCAGCTTCTAAGTTTGTATGTGTTTGTGAGAGGCAGAGGAGTTTTTTAGGCATCCTTTACTTCTGCCCAAAGCTGAAGTACAGCCAAGGTGAGATGCCTCAGGTGGTATGAAAGAAAGTGTGAGGCAGGCACAAGAGGTATCCTATATCAACTCCCTTCTACCTCCCATTAAGTGCTGGCCACTTTGTCCAGCCTGCTGGCAAAGCCTCTCAAAGTGGTGGCTGGACAGTCTCCACAATAGACTTATAACAGGAGAATTAAATGGAACAATGTTCATTTATCATTTCAGTTCTCCACTGCCTATTCTAGATTTTCAGGTAGCACTTTCTAGTAGAGAGACACAGATAGACAGTTGTTTATCTTTATTAAAACTACGATACTTAGTTGTTTATCTTTTCTGTGGCATAGTTGCTGCAGCTGCCTACTTAAGAATTATCACTGGGCATGGTTGTACCATTTGAATTCCCTAGATTTTTTGGTATACTTTCTCCTGTCTCCTATGTATAACATCATCCACAGGTCCTTTTGGTTGTTAGGGTCAACTTATTGTGCAGTCCTCTACCCCCAGCCCTCAAAATGGTGATAAACCTAGGCTTGCTGGTCCAAAGTAGTTTAGAAATGAACAGACAATAAACACTGCTTCAGAATTTTGCAGTGCACTCCCTGTGTCTCTTGCACAATTCCCTTTTTTTTCTCCCCCCAGAATCAGAACATCTAAACCAGAGGAGCCTAGATTTTGGTAGTCTTACTTATATTTGTTGGTTTATTAAAACCAAAGTGAAACAAGAAAAAAAAAAAAAAACCAGAAAGACACAGGACCACATTTTTCAGCCTTTAGAAGATAGGGTACGTGTTAAGATGATTTATTCTTTTGGAAGACAGTGCCTCAGTTCTTCAAGATGTTATCCAACACTTTCATACACAGAAATTGTGTATTTGTTAAATTCAGAACTTGAGTTATAAACTAAACAGTTAGAGAAAGGTTAATAGTTAAATTAGTCAGATATTTCTTGATTTGGAACAGTGCTAGTTTAGTGTAATACCTGCAGTTACTTAGTTGCAAAGTTATAAAAAACTCAGTCTGAAGATTTCATTTTATCTAAAATTATTTTAGACCTTGAAGACTAAGCCTAGAGAGGATTTTGTAGTTAATTTGAGTTTTGCAAAATGTACCTCTGTTAAATAACAGGTTATCATCATGGGATAAGGATTTTAGTACTTGTACTAAAATTGGTTTTTAATATCTTGATAGTAAATGAACTTAAATGGTGATAACATCTCAATAATTTTAGACCTGCTACAAGAATAAAAAGGAATAACCAATTTTCCTTCTCTTGCCATACCTTGTTTCATAATCTGTGACAAGACTTGTGTATTTTTCTTGGTACTTGTGTTTGAGTGTCTTGAGGATGACATCTAGGTAGTCTTTATCATGTATTGTTGTTTTTCTAGGGCTTAACATGCTTCTTTATTCTTTGTTTTGTTTTTGGTACTGGGGATCGAACTGAGGATCTGGTACTCGCGAGACAGGTGTGGTGCCACTGAGCTAAATCCCTGGCCCAGCATGGTTCCTTATTCTGAGTAGATCCTCCATTGACAGTGGTTAAGCTAATTCAAGAAAATATATAATGTTCATGTGCTAGTATTTATGGATTTTATTTTTAAAGTTAGCTGTGATAACTTTTTTCAAAGTATAATAATGTTTTAGACTTTCTTCCTTTTTCTCTCTTTAAACAGATAGAAGGACAAGAACAGAAACACCAGCACTGGCTGAAGGTAAATATGTCTTTGGGGGAAATGATTATTCAAATACAAATGAAAAATTATTTTTAAACAAAAACCTGCATTGGTTAAATATATTTAAGGAAAATATACTATATGTTGAACTACTAAAAATACCTTGGAAATACTCTGTTGTTTAGTTTTTGGCTTAGAATAGGAAATAGTGGGGAAAACGTAAATTAATTAGAACTTTTTTTACAGCTTTCTTTCAGTAGGAGACGTATATGCTTTTCTTTGAATTCCCTTGTAAGTCATTTTAGTTATCATCAGTATAGTTCATCAGTTAAAGTCTGTGCCATTAAATTTTAGTAATTTAATATAATTTCTTCCAGACCCTATTGGAAACTAGAAAGAAAGACACCATTGTATTTTGCCTTAATAAGAATTTTACATATTACTTACTGGTTTTGGTCCTTTTCAAAAAAGTCTTTGAAGCAGAGTACTCAACAGAAAACGTAGTGACCATTAGAGCTCCTGAGTGCTGAAGCATTTGTAATATTGTCATTGTTTTTCCTGTAGTTATTTTACTTATAACCAGTTAATACATGGTAGAAAATGTATTTTTTTACAGATGTACTTTGTGTTCTTCAAGTAAAAATGCTCAATTTAAAAATGTCTTTTTTTAGCTGGGCGTGGTGGCACACGCCTGTAATCCCAGCACTCAGGAGGCTGAGGCAGGAGGATTGTTGTGAGTTCTAGACTAGCCTGGGCTACATAGTGAGTTCCAGGTCAGTCTCAACAACATAGTGAGACCCTGTCTCAAAAAACGAAACAAAACAAAACACCCCAAAAAACAAATAAAATGTCTTTTCGTGCTCTTTGTGTCATAACCATCCTGTCATTCTATTAGCACTGATAAGACTGTTACCATGATGTCCCTTCACAGTTTTTGCCACCTGTCCTGCTCTGTGTTTCAGTGCGGGAGTCCTTAACTAGTTTTTGTGCCAAGGACTCTAATAAACTGGTGAAGCTTATAATGACTGTAATAGTGATGCACGATTGTGTGAAGTAAAATGCGTAGGATTAAAAATGAAACTAGTTAGATTGAAACACTGTTAAGAAATATTTAAAATACAGGTGGTGACGGGCATGGTGGTGCAGGCCTGTAATCCCAGCATGCTGGAGGCTGAGGTAGGAGGATCACTGAGAGTTTGAGGTCAGCCTGGGCTACATATTCAAGTTTAAGGCCAGCCTGCACTACATGGTGAGACCCTGTCTCAAAAACAAACAAACAAAAAACAACAGGATTGTGATAGAGTGTTGTTTCTCATAGTATCAGCTTTAGGAACAATTCTGCTGTTCACTGTGAGTTTAAATAGTGATGGATAAATACTTGTAATTTCAATTAATGACAACTTTATAAGTACTTCTAATATTACAGTGGTTTCTAGACTATAATCGTAGTTAAAGGAAATGCTAGCTTTCATGTAGAGAAAGCTTCCTGTTCAAATTCATAGACAATTGATTGCATTTTTTCTGTGGCCCTGAGATTGAGACCCTCTGTTAGTGAAGTTAGCTTGACTTTACTTTCTCCATAATACTTGATTCAACATGTTTTATGCCCTTCATAACTGAGCTCAGAAATAGAATTACACATCCTTTAAAATAGCCTATGCTAAAGGCAGATGGTTGTGAAATAACTTTGAAGAAGGTTCTGATTGCTGGTTAGCAGTAATAGAGATACCATATTTCGTAGAGAAGTGAATAGGAAATAGATGTTAAACTTTTAATGTACCTGCCTTCAAAGGTTGTGATCTGGAAGTACAAGAAAACGAAACAACTTGTAGAAAGTCCCCAGATGTCTTGGAGTTCCTTCAGTAGCATGAACTCTGTGTAGTAATAATGGGTCAGCCTGTGCTGGGAAGAATCTGGAATGGTATCACTAAGTTCTGACGCTTATCCAGCAGCTGGTAACTGACTGGTTGCAGGGAGTAGCTATTCCTTTGGAGTTGAAGGGGTCACAATAGGGTATTTGATTTTTTTGTTTTTGTTGTCATGGCGATGGTGGTACTTGATTGATTCAGTGTGATCCGGCCCTGATGCTGTATTTTAAAGATGGTCTGAAAAGCTGTTCAGAACTATCAAGGTCATCTGAGTAAGCCCACCCTTTTCACTCATTTGTTGCTTTTGCCTAAGTCACCAAGTTTTTGTAGTCTTCACCTTTTTCCATGAAGTTCAGGATTTGAGTTACATGATTCTACAGTCATTTGACAGACCTTTGGTTTCTGCCCATTCTCATCCCCTTTGCTTCCTTTTCTCCCAGCAACTTTGGATATATGGTTAAAATATTCAGAGTAGCTTAGTGAGTTTAGGCTTATATAAATAGGTATTTCTCATATCCTGTACAAAACTTTAAAAAGTATAATAATTACATGGTATGCTCAGTGGAAAATTTTTCTTTGATACATGCATACTTTGTTCTTAATAATGGTTCAGAAATTTAGCATACTCCATAATACTAAGAAACAACTTTTTGGAAATCCCCTCCCCTCCTCTCCCTCTTCTTTTGTCTCCTTGGTCTTCCTCTGTAGTTTATGCTGGTCCTGAACTCACTGTGTAGTCAAGGCTGGCCTTCAAGGCACTTTCATCCTCCTGCCTCAGCCTTCTGAGTACTGGAATTACAGGTGTGTACCACCCTGTCAGGCTCTGAATTCAGTTTTACAATCTTATATAGTCAGTGGTATCAAGCCTTGTTATTTGAAAATAATTTGGATTATATTTTTTAAATCTGCCCAGAGGATTTGTCTCTACTCTTTAATTAAAGTAAAATAGTATTTTTAAAAGGATATAATGAAAAAAAAAATATATATGCGTGCGTGTGTGTGTGTGTGTGTGTGTGTGTGTGTGTAATGGCCGCCTTGGTAAGATCAGAATGAAACTGATGATCTCTGTTGCATTCTGTGTTGCTTATAAGAGACAGTGATATATAAGTATAAAATTATTCAAGTCCTTATCTTAAAAATTAATATCACCAAGAAGAGAAAAATGTTCTTCCTTGTTTTTATAAATTTTGTTTGGTTATAATGAGCTTAGAGAACTTATATTTAAGAGAAGGATTTTAAGTTCAATTATGTTAATTTCCACTTAAGAACAAGGGTAACATTGGTGCGCTTTTGTCCTTTATTTTATTAAATTCCTTTGTTGTGCTAGGTCACTGGTGGCAAACCTGTGGCACGGGTGCTACAGCAGTCTGTTTATTATCATTAAAAGCTCTGAAAATTTCATCATCAGTGTACTAGGCTGAAACAGACCTAACTATTGAAAGGCAGTTTTTAGTTATCATGTCTTTTCCTAATAATTATACTTTCAAAAATTTTTTTTCCTATTAAGAATTTCTTTTCTCAATTTGAAAATTTTAGTGCTAGTATTAATTTCTTTCAGGAACATCTGATAATTTTTTCAGTTTGTTTTTGATGAATTATATATATTTCTTTATGACCGTACATAATGCCATAGTATATCAAGCATGTAAGATTTCATTCATTAGAGTATCCAGGCCCTCTGCTGGACACTTTGGATAGAAAAGGTAGATTCACTAGGGAAAATGATTCTATTGCCCTTAGTTCCTTTAGTCTGTAACATTAAATGTATATAATGTATAAATGTATATAATTCATCAAAAACAAACTGAAAATTTTATCAGATGTTCCTGAAAGAAATTAATACTAAATAATAACTTGTAAATTTTATTGTCTTTCAGATGGTAACCATTATAATTACTAGAGAGGAAATGTCTTATTTGTAATTTTTGCATATTTGAGTATGTGTGTATAGTCAGATGAGTAATTTTCTTTTGACTTAAATATCTTTGAAGATACTTCAAAAATTTAATGATTTGTAAAGTGGTACAGGGATTGTTTAGTTTGGTTCTGGGAGGTCAGTAAGAATTGGAACCAGTAAGGGAAAAGTAACATCTGAGTGAATTTCAGCTCAGTACAAGGACTTGTGATTCTGGAGGGCAGGATTCATGTTGTATTAATTGTTCATCATTCAGTTACTGAAATTTCTAAATATTTTTTCTAAAGTTTGAAGTCTAAAACTTTAGTCATGCAAATATTTAATGCAATGGCTAGAAGATTGCTTGGCATGATAGAATAAATTCAGACCAAAGTTAAATGATTGGGCTTGAGGCTTTTGTGTTAGGATGGGTGGGTGATCCCTTCCTGGTCTGATTCTCTTATTCATTGGCGATTGGATATAAAGCCCCTCTATCTGATGCCTTCCAGTTCTCACAGGAACTTTAAAATTAAGAAGACACCTCAGTCCACACAAAATTAAGGGAGAATTAACTGCTGAGAATATCTTATCTTTTAATTCAAATTATGAGAGAAGGAAAGTAGAAGTACAAATTACGAAGTTACTCATTTCAGTCCTGGTGAGATAACTGTGAATGGTACTTCACTCTTGTGTGCCACATTCTGACAGATTTCCTCTTACTCGGAGAGCTGTATCTTAGCAATAGACATTTGCCTGCCAGCCTTGCTCTTTTGATTTTCTTAACCTTTGTGGAGGTTATATTTGACTTACCTTTTTATAGGTTACCTATTCCATAAGTTTACTCCCTAATTTCTAAAGTTGCCATTTGTTTCATTTGATCTAATGTTAGCTCCTTTTATGGGATGTGATTAGGTATTCTTTTTTTTAAATGAATAAGCCTTTTTGCTTGATTTGTTCATTCATTTATTCATTTGGTGCTTAAGGTGAATAGCTGAGTGACAGAATGTCTGCTAGAGGCTAGAGTTTCGAAGATGAAAAAGATAAAGACTTTTTAAATGTTTGGTAAAACTTCTATAAAGCTCTTCAAGGAGTCAACATGTTCTTTTGTTTATAAACTGTTTCAAAGAACACAGAGTTTTATATAAAATGGGCTCGATAGAAAAACCAGTAAGTTATAGGTTGGTGTTACTTGGAGTACACAGCAAAAACTTAGCAACCAAGTGTAGACATGAATGACTTGACCTAGGCTTGATCCAAGCAATGCAAAGGTTGTTTAA